TTTCCTACTTGAGGGCACTTCCCTATCCCCCTGTCCACCTTCGCCTCCGTATCCCCTGGGCCCCAGGCGGTGGGCGAGGAGGCCTGCGGAGGCCCCACGGTGTCCTTTGCACCGCTGCCGCCGGAGCCGGGGGCGCCGTCGAGCGCGGCCGAAGCCGAGCGCAGACGTTGGGCGATCGGTTTGGGGTTTGATGCCTGATACGTCGTACACGTCGCTTGTTTTGGGATCGGTTTTGGGTTTGCACTCTGGTTTGCACTCTGGTTTCCAGCTTTTGGATCTGGTGCACCCATCAGGACATCCAGATGGAACCAACTGGATGAGACTGGAATGTACTGGAAGATATGCATTTGACGGTGATCCGGTGCGTTCAGAACCGGATGGACAACCGGTGTGTTCGACCGGCCAGACGGAACGAATACGAGGGTTGCTGCTCTTTTTGACAGCTAGGGGCTGGATGCCTTTTCCGCCAGGCCGACTTGAATCTGTGACGTGGGTATACGTGGATTGTTTTGATTCATTCGTGTCCATGCTTGCTGCTGAACATCGCAACAACACATGCCGCGCAACAAAAAACACACAATAAATATATTGGATTTGCAAGCAGTTGGCCCTTCCAAAAATTTAAAAGAGGTCAGCCTCGAGGTGTCATCTTTTGAGCCCTCCAACAGACAGCAGCTGAGGCTTGAAGCTGATTCGCAGGCGGGACCTTCGCCACGACCGCGAGTCACTGGGTGGGGCAAGACATGCCGTTCCAATATGGCAATTGAACTCCTTTACATAGGAAATGGTTGGGACTGGGGAAACATCCATTTCTTTCTGGTTGTTTGGGGTTCCAGCTGGAAGTCTTGACGGAGGTGCAGTCAAAGGGTCGACCACCTTCGCGCGCCCGGCGGTCGACCGGGGCACCCCGCCACGGGCGCACGCCTCGACGGCGCAGTCGGCAGCGGTGGAGCCAGCGCCAATGCCTCCGCCATGAGGTCCGGAGCCGGCACGGGTGCCGGCCGTGGGGGTGCGCAAAGGGTGCGGAGGATGACATGAGGAGGAACCTCCTGATGGATCGAACAGATGGAGTCGACATGGTGTTCTTCGACTTCTCGAGTCGTTCTACGACCCGGCACTCGGTATGTCAGACGGGCTTGGGACACTTGGAATCAACGGAATGCCAAACGGAACGCCGAACGTTGAAGTCATGGATGTTGGCATTCAATGGACAGCGGAGGAAACAATTGATAGAGTCAATCAACCTACCATAAGCTCTGGAATAAGGGGGTTGCATGTTTGCATGTCGCTGGTGCACTTAGTGGTGCACTTATAGTGACGACAGCAGCAACAACAACAACAAGGTACAAACAAAAACTGCAGACCCGTTACAAGATATCTTGGCCCTTTGTCTCTACAAGGGGGTGGAAACAAAATCTGCAACCCCGTCGTTGTTATTTTGACCCCCCCCGAAAACAACCAGCCAACATGTACTTTTACCAGTAGCGGTAGTGCTTGTACTAGTGCTAGTACTAGTGGTACTAGTACTAGTAGTAGATCCCCGTCTGTTAGGGCACTATTTTTTCCTGAGGGTGGAGGTCGTTTTATATAAATGTTGATCTGTCCGGTTGGCTCCAATATTTACCCAGAGCGACAGGATTTCATAAAGGTTGCATGGAAAAGCAGCTTTCAAAACAGGATTTCATAAAGAGTGAAACCACAGCAAAACATAAAGATTTAAGTCTTTCTCACAGCCCTTTCACTTACAGGATTTCATAGCCAGATATATAGCTGATCTTAGAGCTGTCCAACGTGAAGCCATTTTGGCATAATGTTGGCGACCGTCAACACCAAGGTTTTAGGAAAGGGCTTGTTTGCGGAAACAACAGCCTAGATCAAGACATCGATAGTCGATGGAAAAAGACTAGATGCGGACTCAGCGGCTGTCAGCAGAACCAGGATACCATAAATCATCACACCTCGTTGCGCAAATTGTTGCTTCCCAAGATGAAGCAAAAGCTCACGGCCTGGAGGCCGAAAGCGGGTGTTCTCACCTGCAAGGTGGTTCTCACCTGCAAGGTGGAACACTGGAACACTGAGATCTGCAAAGAAAGGGATTCTACTGTCAGTTTTGATATCCACACCCCTCCTGGCAAACACTAGCTGGTTCGCCCACCGCCACGCCTCGTTGCACGAATTAATGCGGCAATAACAAATATGTGTGCGAAAAAGCCACCAGCCCAATTCCATGAAAATTTGCTCGGGAGAGGGTTACGTGTTAGATTATCCTTCAGCTACCCAGTCCCGTCGGCCAAGCACATTGGCTCGCCAAAATGATCCAAAACCCAATCACCAAAACTATGGGGGGGCCTCGCAAACAAACGGCTCGCCCACCAAAAAGTCGGCTCGCCCACCTAGATATATTTTTGATATTTTTTGCACTTGGGAGACGTCAGCGCCGGGAATTTATAAGTATAAAGTGCTGCCATTGCCGGGGAACCCCCGCGGAATCCTTTGCCTTTCACGCTGCCAAAAGTATGCTTGAGCCACAGGATTATATAAAGAATCAGCGTATCTTGCTGGACCTAGGACCACCCATTTTATAACTACCAAGGTGTTGCTTTTACCGAGGATTTCTTATAAAATCTGGGGTGCCAGGGTCACCCGCCCAAGCAACGGGGATGTAGTAGTCGTTGTTGTAGTGGTCGTAGTCGTAGTAGTGGTAGTAGTAGTAGTAGTAGTAGTGGTAGTGGTAGTAGTAGTAGTAGTAGTAGAGGTAGTAGTGGTAGTAGTAGTAGTAGGAGGAGGAGTAGTAGTAGTGGAAGTGGTAGTGGTAGTGGTAGTGGTGGTAGCAGTAGCAGTAGCAGTAGTGGTGGTGGTGGTGGTGGTGGGGTGGTGGCGGTGGTGGTGTGGTGGTGGTGGTGGTAGTCCGGTCAGCTAAGCCTCTGTAAAACTTCTACTTAGAACCTCTAAATACCACATCCTAGAGACAAAAGCTGCAGCCCCGTTGTTGATTTTTGAAGGCCCCCCCTCAGAAGATGTTGTTGTCTCTACCCCCCCCTAGAAACAAAATCTGCAGCCCCGTCGTTGTTTTTCGCCCCCAGAACAACATCCCAAAAAACATCAAAAAACAAGAAACAGACCAACCAAGACTTGAGTACCACAACGACAAGAAGTCCAGCTACTAACATCTCTCCAAACCTTCGACCCTATCCCTAACAGTGTCCCTTTGAAATCCCTGACTTGCAACATGTGACAGCTATGTTGGGCAGCTGTTTTTGTCGCTACCAACAACAACAACAACAATTCTTGCGGTGCAGGTGCTCTTGCTTCATTCCACCTGGGCAGGTCATGGTTTCCTTGCCGGCCGCTCAACCCCTGACCGGCTCCTGAAAATGAAAAAAAGACCCGGAAGGCGTCTCTCCTCACATGGTGCGATCCATCACATCGGGGGCGCACGGGTCGCGACCTGGCACCAGTTTCCGCAACTCTCAGGATGGACGCTGGACGGGAGACGCCTTCCGACCGTCCTCTGTTTACCCACGCGTCGGGATGTTTCACCTGGCTTTGCGAGGCAACGCGGGCAAGGCGTAGACAGGCCACACATGACCTTGAACCTGCCGGAAAGCAGTGCCTTCACACAATGGACCCAATCAACAAAGACATAGCCTCCTCAGATCCCCTGGCTCAAATCCGAAAGACTGTTTATGGGCAATGTATACCAGCACAAATGGTGGATTTGAGCCAAGAGTCTTGATTCTTGATCAGAATCTATGCCAGTGTGGGTGAAATTTGACCAGTCTCAGGATGGTACACACGCTTCTTTACGACCACCGGTGCCTTCGTCTCAGGGTTCGCTCTCCGGAGACCGGCGCCGAGCCGTAATTAGAGGCCCTCCAAGACACCAACCTGGACACGAGATGCTGGGAACTGACGCCTTGCCCTGGTTGTCATGTGGCAGATTGGCCTGTGGCCGAGCAACCTGTGGTGAAAGGTAGCAGGTAAGGGTAGGCAGAGCTATGGCTCAACAATCTTAATGGCTCAACGCTGCTTAACGGCTCAACGTCGTATGGAGTCAGCACAGGCGCAGGAGTGAACATACTTCAGCAGGAGGAAGATTTCGCAACGCCTTCCCTCCAGAATCTCATTGACACCACTTCTCTTTCCCAATGGAATTCCGACGGAGGAATGTCCACCAATACATTCATTTCGGGGTGTAAATGCATCCGCCGGAATTCCATTGTGGCCCCCAGCATTCCAAAGAGAAACAGTTGCAGGTTGTGTATCCACAGGCTTGGTACCAACTTTTGTCCTGTCTGTGATACATCTAGAAGTGAAACACTGGCTGCCGTCGTGCAGTTTTTCACTTGAGCATTTAAATTTCGATGGAAGGACCATCACCAGCACTTTGTTGAAAGACCAAATGCTGCTGATCGTATGCCGTATCAGTCTCTGCATTTTACAATCCACACATGGAAGTTGGGGGGTTGTTTCAAGCAGCTGAACGCACAGGTCCCCCGACACGGTGACGTCGGAATTGAACACGAACACCGGGGGCAGCTGGGCCAACGGAGGTGTGCGATGAGCCGGGCAGGTTGATCCTTACCATCTCTTTTGATCATGAACCTTACATCATGAACCTTCACCAATGGTTCATCATTTCTTTTGATCTTACCATCTCTGACCAGGCGTAGGATCTGGTTCCACCTGCTTCCTTCGCCGCTTACGCTGCGCGGTCTCCGTGCCACGCGCGGTCTCCGTGCCGGCGGCAAGATGTCGTAGGGCACTGGAGTCTTTTTTCGTCTGCATGCAGGCACACGCAAAAAAGAGAAAGAGGTATGAGTAGACCATAACAGACCTGAGGACCTTCTCGACGTGGTCCCACGTGAAAGCACACGTGCTTTCATTCCGAATTGCAGCGGGTCGAGACAAGGCCAGTGAACTCAAACCTAGAAGATTTGCAAGCCAAAGACCTAACAAAAATAGTAATGTATAGTACGTGTTTATAAACTGTTTGAGGACTATGTTCGATTTGCGTTTCTTGTTGAGTTTCTGGGACATTTGTGTCGATTCATGGTCAAAAGCAGCCGTTACATGTTGGTTTTCTTCGACTTGACTTGTTTGGATCTGCAGCATTGGCTCGGAGGGTTCCATGGCTTGAGACCTGCTGGTCTTGAGCATTGGCCGTGTGTCACCGCACGGCACGTGTTCAAACCGCGGTTTGATCCTCAAGGGACGCGGCACCTTGGCTTCAAGGAGTGAGGCGCATGGACTCCTCGTGTCTGCACGTGCACGACATCTCAGCTCCAAAAGGTGCTCTCAGCTCCATGGAGGCCCCCCAAGTCCTCGGCATCGGACCAACCGGCGCGCACCGGGCCGGCGCCCACCGGGACCGGACCGGTCGACCGGTCCCACCGGGCGATCCAGGTCATGCCTCCGAGGCGACCAGGCGCGCGGTACCGGGGGCGACCCCCAGCGCCGGTTGAAGTGGCCAATCGCTGGTTAAGTCGTTGCCACAGGTTGGGAAAAGAGCGTTGGAAAGTACAGAAGATTTAACAAAAATACATAAATAAATATATATGTATATATACATATATACACACACACACATATATATATATACATACATATAACGACTGCAGACTAGATAGAAAGACAAAAGAGTCAAAACCAGGGTCTATAGCCGACCGAGCTTTTGGCATTTCTATCTTTGGTATTTGCCTGTAAAGCACAGCGAAAGTGACTTATTTAACAAAAGGACCGCCCGACCGAGCACCCAAAACATTCTATTTTGGAGATGTCCATGCATATATCATGGATTTTGATGCGTGTTGATAAAAAAGTGCTGTAAATAGCGCGAAATATGAAAGACACCCTTCCAAAGTGCTGCAAATAGCAAGGAATACGAAGGTTTTCGTTCCAAAGTGCTGCAAATACCACAGAACATGAAGGTCATGCCTTCCAAAGTCTTGCCAATAGCAGGAATATGAAGGTTGTTTGTTTCAACATGTTGCAAACAGCAAGGACTCAGAAAGACATTTGTTCCAAAGTGCTGCAAAAAGCAAAGAATGTGGAGGTTGTTGTTGTTGTTGTTGTTGTTGTTGTTGTTGTTGTTGAAAATATATTTGTAGAAGTGCTTCTCTGGGGACCTCTGCTTCCGACGCAAAAAGTATTCAAAATGATCATGTTTTAGTCACGGATTTATACAAAATCGGAAGTTGTGTGTGTGTAACCCTTGGAACCAAAGGGAACCTTTAGGTTTGGAACAGGGGGCGTGACGGTCGATTTCCTAGTCACGCCAATGAAGCTATGGAAATCGACTGGATGGAAGTTTGGACGCAAACTTCCGTGCCTGTTCCACTATTTAGGAAAACAGGAGGAAATGGTACTCGACACACTTGTGTGACGGTGCCTTTCCTTCTGTTTTCCTCTAGACTAGTCTATAGGTTTGCCGGTAGGCCTCCAAACTTTGTAAGGGGTTCTTTAACCTAAACTTTGGCCTCCACCCACTAGAATGGACCCCCAACCTTTGCTGTCTTGTGTGTCTTGAGTTTCTTGTGCTTCTTGTTAACAACCTCCTAGCGTTGGCCCCCAACCTGCTTTCGACGGCCTCCAACCTAAGAGCGAAGACCCCCAACTTTGATGGCTTGCAGTTTTGGTTCTTGTCACCAACTTACTAGCGATGGCCCCTTAACCTGCTTTCGATGGCCTCCAACCTAAGTGAGAGGACCTCCAACTTTGACTGTTTTGACTGTTTTGCTGTCTTGTTTCTTGTCACCAATCTACCAGCGATGGCCTCTCAACCTGCCTTCGACGGCCTCTAACCTAAGAGCGATGGCCTCCAACTTTTGTGCATCGTTTTTATTCAGGCCCTTTTTAAACCTAGGTTGGCGTGTGGAAGTCAGACGCATATCAATAAGTGTGTCTCTCCTAGTGAGAGTCCGGGATGAGCCCGTAGAGTGCCTCCCGTGGACCCGTTGAACGGGTGTCTGTCGTTATCTCCCCTGCCCGGAGATGTACGTGTCCGGAGCGGACAGCAGATGGCTTATGCCGAACGAATTTTGATCTTTGTCTCATCTTTGGAATTCCAAGTTGGCTTATGCCTTTACGTGACCGCAGCGGTCAAAGCAGCCAGCCACTTTGGCAGGGCACAAGGTGACCATAGCGGTCAAAGCAAGTTTAAGGTTCATTGGAACCTGTCGAGCACTTAGTCCCCCCTCCTCCCCCTTCCCTCCAACTTTCTTTCTTTGCTTTCTGGGGTTTTCCTGAATGGAATACTCAGGATTTCCCCTCTCTTTCTTTGGTGTGTCCCTGGACGATTGTTCGTAGCTGGGAACACCTTCCTTTCTCTCCTCTCCCTTTCTCTCCCTCTCTCTTTCTTTCCTTCTCTCTTTCCGCTCTTCACCTTCTTCCTTGGGTGTCCCTGGATGCTTTCGTCATAGCTGGGAGCCTTCCTTTTTGGTGTGTCCTTGGACGCTTGTGTCGTAGCTGGGAGCACCTTTGTTTCTTTCTTTTCTTCTTTCCTTCTCTTTTCTTCCTCCCCCTTCCCCCTCTTTCCTCGCGCGCGGCGTGTTTACAAGCAAACTAGGCTTCTGCAACAGGTTTCTAATGAGGTTTGGATTGTCATCGGTTTGTCCCCGTTCATTTGGTTCCCCTTTCATCGGCCCCCACAGACGTTTTTCATTCTTTTCTTTCATGTCTTTCTGTCTTCATGTCTCTTCATCCTCATCCTTTCTTTCTCTTGCGCGTACTTTCGTCCGGACCTTAGTTTGCACACATACACGCACGCGTACTCTACTTACAACGAGGTTCAGGTGGCCCAGGTTTGTTACAATGAGGTTTGGTTCATCGGTTGTCCCTCTTCACTAGGTTCTTCTTCATCGGCAACCACACACACCTTTGTCTGTCTCGTTCTTTTCATGTTCATCTGTCCCTTTTGCGTGCACATGTGCCTTGCCTCCTTTCCGGGCAGGATGGAGGCCACACATGCCTCCCTTCGGGGAGGCGTGTGTGTGTAACCCTTGGAACCAAAGGAACCTTTAGGTTTGGAACAGGGTGCGTGACGGTCGATTTCCTAGTCACGCCAATGAAGCTATGGAAACCGACTGGGTGGAAGTTTGGACGCAAACTTCCGTACCTGTTCCACTATTTAGGCTATTTAGGAAAACAGGAGGAAATGGCACTCGACACATTTGTGTCGGTGCATTTCCTTCTGTTTTCCTCTAGACTAGTCTATAGGTTTGCTATAGGTTTGCAGGTAGGCCTCCAAACTTTGTAAGGGGTTCCTTAACCTGAACTTTGGCCTCCACCCACTAGAATGGACCCCCAACCTTTGCTGTCTTGTGTGTCTTCAGTTTCTTGTGCTTTTGTTAACAACCTCCTAGCGTTGGCCCCCAACCTGCCTTCGACAGCCTCCAACCTAAGAGCGAAGACCCCCAACTTTGACGGCTTGCAGTTTTGGTTCTTGTCACCAACTTACTAGCGATGGCCCCTTAACCTGCTTTCGATGGCCTCCAACCTAAGTGAGAGGACCTCCAACTTTGACCGGTGTGACTGTTTTGCTGTCTTGTTTCTTGTCACCAACCTACCAGCGATGGCCTCTCAACCTGCCTTCGACGGCCTCTAACCTAAGAGCGATGGCCTCCAACTTTTGTGCCTCGTTTTTACTCAGGCCCTTTTTTAACCTAGGTTGGTGTGTGGCACCGATGTCAAGTCAGTACGCATATCAATAAGTGTGTCTACCCCGCTAAGGAAATATAACTTTGAAAAGGTTTGCAACTTGCAGGAAACACCAAGGAGAACTGTGCAAGAGGATAAATCGAGACATTCCTTAGGCTTGGAAATACCAACAGAACCTGAAGACGGAAGTAGGAACTACACAGAGAAAACCATGGGAACATGATGTTGTTTGCAAGCTCCGCTCTACAGCGTTTTGCAGGCTAATCCCAAAGATGGAAATGAACAAACCTGGAACCTGGAACAACTTGTTCTTGACAGAAGACCCTCAGGAACTATGACAAAGTAAACACATGCTAAACTTTACGGGCGAGGGGTCGTTTAGCCCCCTCTTTTGGGTTCTTTTATCCACCCGTTTACATGGGAATAGTTTTCAGTCAGCGGTCTTGCGCAGCCAGTCTCACCAGGGAATGTGCACACAGAGGTCTTGGACACACAGGTCTCGGACAGAGAGGTCTCGGACACAGAGGTCTCGGACACACAGGTCTCGGACACGGAGGTTTCGGACACAGAGGTCTCGGACACAGATGTTTCGGAAACAGAGGTTTTCGAAACAGAGGTCTTGGAGTCTCGGACAGAGGTCTCGGACACACAGGTCTTGGACAGAGGTCTCGGACACACAGTTCGTGGACAGAGGCTGAGATCATTCAAACAGTGCATACCTTTTCTGAGCCACCCGAGGGCAAAATTTAGACGAAAGAGGTGCCATTCCAACGGTGCATACCGTTTGTGAGCCACCGAGGATAACATTTAGAGGAGAGAAGTGCCACTCCACCGGCGCATACCTTTTCTGAGCCACCGGATGGAAAAAATAGAGTCTTGGACAGTAGTCTTGGACATAGGTCTCGGGCATAGAGGTCTTGGACACAGATGTCCCGGATTTAGAGGTCTCTCACACAGAGTTCTCGGACATAGAGCTCTCGGAGATGCATGTGTCTATAGCTATATATATGAGGTGTTGGACATGTAGGTCTCGGACATAGAGTTCTCGACCACACAGGTCTCGGACATTCATGTCTCGGACATAGAGGTCTCGGACATACAGGACACAGAGGTCTCGGACACGCATGTATCTATAGGAGGTCTCGGACATAGGTTCTCGGACATTTAGAGGTCTTGGACACAGACATAGAGGTCTCGGACTCAGAGGTCTCAAACACAGAGGTCTCGGACATCCAGGTCTCGGACATAGAGGTGTTCGGACACAGAGGTCTTGGACACAGAGGTCTCGGACACAGATGTTTCGGAAGCAGAGGTTTTTGAAACAGAGGTCTCGGACAGTGTTCTCGGACGCACAGGTCTTGGACAGAGGTCTCGGGCACACAGGTCTTGGACAGAGGTCTCGGACACACAGGTCTTGGACAGATAGGTCTCGGACATAGGTCTCGGACATAGAGGTCTCGGACATTGGATGTCGCGGACATAGACGTCTCGCACATTACGATGCCTCCTGTGCCCGCTCTTTGGACATCCGGGTCTATAGGACATTCCAGGGTCCGTTTGGTGGCATCAAAAATGAAGTAGGTCTCATATGATTCATTTTAATCGAGGATGATTTCATTTTAATCGGGGGGTAGTTGAACTTGTTTGGATGTCAAGAAAGCTAATTGAAGCTGCTGGGAAATGGAACAGCTTCATGTTTTCGTGCGATGGTTTAGGCATCCCTTTAACTGCAAGCGGCGCGCTGCTAATCTTTTCCGCTGACAACATGCT